ACTAGTCCTAGTACTGGTACTAGTACTAGTACTAGTAGTACTACTACTACTGCTACTACTAACACTACTACTACTGCTGCCGCTACTGCAACTGCTACTACTGCTACTACTAAACCATTACTACTGCTACTAATGCTACTACTACTACTACTACTACTACTACTATACTACTTCTTCTTCTACTACTACTTCTACTACTACTACCACTACTGCTAGTACTACTACTACGACGACGACTACTACTACTACTACTACTACTGCTGCTACTACTACTACTACTACTACTATGCACTACTACTATTTACTAGCTACTACTACTACTACTACTACTACTACTACTACTACCACCGTCGTAGTATTACTATTACTATTTCTACTACTACCACCACCACCACCTCCACCACTACTACTACTACTACTACTACTACTACTACTACTAGTACCACTAGTACCACTAGTACCACTAGTACCACTACTACTGCTCCTACTGCTAGTGCTACTGCTACTGCTAGTGCTAGTGCTACTGCTGCTGCTAGTGCTAGTGCTACTGCTACTGCTACTGCTACTGCTACTGCTACTGCTACTGCTACTGCTACTGCTACTGCTGCTGCTACCGCTACCGCTACCGCTGCCGCTACCGCTACCGCTACCGCTACTGCTACTGCTACTTCGACGGCGACGACGACGACGGCTGCTACTACTCCTGCTGCTGCTGCTGCTGCTACTGCTACTGCTACCGCTACCGCTACCGCTACTGCTACTGCTAGTTCTGCGGCCAACTACGGCGACGACGACGACGATAACGGCGGCGACGACGAATACTACTATGATGTGTGTTGCGAAGTGTTGTGAAAGGATTAACATTGCTGGAATTGTTGTTCCGTTGTTTGTGCCATTGCTTCGTTGCCTGCAAGGCTCGGCAGCAAATGTCTTCACGATGCCGAGGCCAAGGGAAAGTCCAAACACACCTCGGGATGATATCCGTCTGAATTGTGAACACGGATGAAAGGTCTTTGGTGTTGAGAATCACTTGGTTAAGATTAAGCGCATCAAACCGGCAGTACTCCAGTTTTCTGGCAACTACTGCTCAGCATCCCAGTTCCTACCCAGCCCTGCACTACACCCCGAAGCCCTTCTGGGGTCAGGTTTAAGTTTGAGTCTGGCACGTTGTGGATTCAGGAGATTGGGGATCCGAATGTTTGTGCGTCCTGGTGGGTTTCGGGCTGCCTGCGCGCATCTATGCCACAGAGAATGCACACCACTTGACGGGATGGGCTTTGTCACGTGGGATGTAGAGCTTTAGATGTGTAACTAGTGTAATTCGCATCCGCGTAGGACGGGTATGCAATCCCAAAAGCTTGTAGCTCTTCAACGCACAAACCACTGCCCCTATTTCCGCTACTGCGCCTTTGCTGCTACTACTATTCACACTGAAAATCTGCGTCCTAGTCTTGTAAACTGGAAAAACCGGAAAGAAAGGAGTGGAGCTTGTTTGCTGTATTTGAGAACCGTCGTATCTTTGGGCAGTGTCGAGTAGAACGTTTAGTCCTTCGACTGGCTCCTGCAATCTCGCCCCCCAAAACCGCCTCAAACACGCGATCAGAGCTCTCCAGGGTTTTGCAGTTTGGGGCTATGGATCAATACCTGTTGGGCATTTCGGGTTGAAGTTGGCACAAACCAAACCTGTGATTCCTG